CCCTGAAGTTTTGGCTTGTGTAGGGCTAGAAAGCGCGGCTTAGGGCAGGGCATAGGATTACTGATTCAAGGTTTGCTTGAACCCCAAATAATAACTAGCCCACATTTACAGGGCTCCTTATCATGAGTTCCTTCTATAATGTTCTTCACAGTTAGGTTTTACATAAGGTCCAGGTAGGACTTCCCCAAAACAAAATATCAATTCCTAACACGGAAACCCTACGTTCTACTACAGAGGTGCGTAGGAACCCTTAAAGGAAACCTAAAACCCTAAACCCCTAAAGGAACCCTTATATCGGCAACCTATATAAGTACTTAGGAGGGTCCAGGTCGTAAACCCCAAACCCTAAACTGTTACAAACTTCCTACAGAAACCCTAAACCCTAAACGCTAAACCCTACATTCTACCTAGGACGCTGTGAGAATTTGAGGGGGCTCAGGGGCTGAAATTATGCCACGGGCTGAATCCCGGAACCCTGACATAAACGGTTGCGCTCTGACCCCGGAAACCCCTAGGATCCCGAATAACTCAGGGGCTGAGTACCCTCGCCCAAAAAATCGTAGCCTTTCTAGAGATGGTAGGGTTAGATCAACCCCCAAAAGGTTAAAGGTTACCTACCCAGCCAGTAAACCCTAAACCCTGAACCCTACCCAGCCCCTAAGACAATGTAAACCCCGAACCCGAGCTACATCAAACACAAAGAAATCGCAAGGGTCCGGGCTGGGCATCCGGAATGCCGCTCTCCGCAGCCGACTTCATGTATCGGGCGGCCTTCGCACATCACGTTTGGGTTTAGGGTTTAGTGCGCCTATGTACCTAGACTGTGACCCACATCTTCCAACACACCCGTTTTCAGAAATACTCCGCAAATCATATCCAGGATCCAGTTTTAAGTTAACGAAAATTCCTTAGATAAGCTTAAGTAGTGAAGGTATATAGAAAGTATTGGGGCTAGCCTTCAGCATACGTATGTTTTCGTCGGGCTGGAAGGCCGTGTCGGATCGTGTATAAAACCCTTTAGAGCTTGGCTTTGGCGCGGGTTTGGGGTGTAGGATGTCGGGCTTCAGGGCTGGATCAGGCTCAAGAACTTTCGATCGTCTGGGATTTACGCATTTTCGAAAGGGTGCATCTAGTTGTTGACATGTTGTACTGGTTTGCCGCAAGCAATATGCCTGAAGTTAAGGGCCCTTAACTCCTTAACACTATGATTACGATTTAAGGTAGATTGCTTAATCAACGGGTATTTGGTCTCTCTGGGGGGCTGCGCAAAGCTTCGGGGATTAAAGCCTGGGGTGCAAACCTCTGGCCGCGATGCCAACACTGCACCCTAAACCGCTAGGGTTTATTTTGGGGGGTTTAGCGTTTCATGGCCACTTGAAGTACTAAAACGCACCAATTCCTATCACCTGACGACTGCAGGGGTCCCTTTGGTAAGCAATTCTTGTGCCTCCTGTGGCAGTTTCATGAACAAGCACTGTAGGGTCCGAATACCTAATGATCTTTAAATCTCACATATATATATATATACTATCCTGTAACGCAACAACCCTAAACCCATGTACCTGATTATCAGGTCCTTTGCACCCGTAGGCAAATTCATGGGTGCAACACTCAAACACCCCAATACCGCGGCTTTCAGTACACAAACCTTTGACCAAGGATCTCAAAACCAACCTAAACCCTCACCTGTATCCCCAAGCCCTGCGAAATAGTAGGTTATGACCCCATAATTAAAAGGTCTGACCCTTAAAACGGTAGGATTTTGGATACCCAGGCAGACACCATGTCACCTCGAAAGGTCTCAGAGATATCTGCTTGGGTCGATCACGAAGGTGCCGAGCCTTTGCCTCGTCGCCGTCGACCCCCTCTTGTAGGCACCTGGGTTTAGGGGTTCAGGGGTTTAGGGGTTTAGGTTTGTTGAGTGTAGAGGTTTAGAGTTTCGTAATCGCAGGGCCATGGACGTTTGAATGGTGGAGTCATGCTTGCAAGTCATTGCTCAAGTGATGTTGCCACGCCACTCTGCACCCGGGGGACTTTGCTCAGCGTGGTCTGTCAAGCTGCATTTGACTTCCGACCCATGAAAGAAAGATCACACAGCAACGAAGTGCACAGGCAGGGGGCATGTCTTGAAGGGAGCTTGTGCGGATGCCGAACTCCAGCTCTCTGCTTGGGGCAGTCCAGCACGCGATCGTGCAGGAGAAGGGGCATGGTTGCATCTCTCATGAGAAACAAAGTATGCTTTCAAAAGATCAACTGAACGATTTGGCAATCAGCATTCCGGCGTTCAAAAGGGCTCTGCAGTCCGAAGCGTCGTTAATAATGGCAAGTGCAGACATGCTTGAGTGATTGTGCCACTTACAGCCAATTGCAGCATACACGGAAAATCTGCTTGCGCATGGAATGACTTTTGTGTGGAAAGATTTTGGGATAAATTGGTTGAAGTTTCCCCATGTCAGGCCCACTCCCCCTCTTAACTCTAGGCTTACAGGGTGGGCAGGTGCGCTTTCTTGCAACGGGAGTCGCTGCTCGGCTGATTCGAGACGTCTTACCAGCAGGGCTCGGGACAACAACACCGCGGCACACCCAGAACGGGACAAGGTCGCCTACAATATGCTGCGTGAACCCAGGGCATCGGCGTGACTGCGAAGAAGTACTGCGCCATCTTCATGTCCTGGTCAGCAGCCTGCTCAGCTCAGGTTTTCTTGCTTACAGTTTGAAATACAGCGAACTAAGACCACATACCAAGCCCTTGCGTGTTGAGGTGCAGTCTGCCCCAAACTCTACAGCCTTAAACCCTTGGGAGTTGGGGCTTGGGTGTTCACGGCCGAGACTGGGGTTTTGTATGCTGCAGCACTCAAACTTGGAAAAGAAAACGAAAAGCCACACCAGAACAGCATTAAGTGGCGGCTGGATGCTGGGGTTTGTTCTGCCTGTTGTTGTTATCACCAGCTTTTGTTTCCGTATGCTAATCCCTTCCCCGAACATTCAAGGGGGGCCATAGAAACCCGGAAAGCATTTTCATCATTAGGGATTATTTTTATCTCTACTTTCACTTTGGAAGGGTCGCGGTCTTGCTCGTGCTCTGGCTCTTGCTCGCGTGCTGGCTTTTGCTCCTGCTCCTGCTGCTTTTGCCGTTGCTCGCGCTTTTGCTCCTGCTCCTGCTCCTGCTCTTGCTCTTGCTCCCGCTCTTGCTTTTGCTTTTGCTTTTGCTTTGCTCTTGCTGCTGCTCTTGCTGATGCTCTTGCTGATGCTCCCACTTTTGCTTTTGCTTTTGCTCCTGCTCTTGCTCTAACTGCGGCTCTGTTTTTGCTCTTACTGTGCTTTAGGTTATTTGGAGCGTCGAAACCCTCCCCCTGATTCAGGATAGGTCTTGAGGGGCAAGGATGATTTCGGGAGGATTCGCCCCAATGTGATCTTATTATTAAGGGGTGTTTAATACAAGGGGGAAGTGATTACCTGGCTAACACTTCCCAGATTTCTTGCTGCAGGTGAGCCCATTGATTTTCGCAGTTTTCGGTGAAGCAGTCCGTGTCTTCCCTCTGCCCTCAGTCCATTCCCGATGGTATCTCTATTGAATTTCTTGCTGAGAAAGTGAGGGGCTGTAGCAGATAGAACCCCGCCGTTGCCCCAACATCCTTGTCCGCTCGCCACAAACAAGGCCCTTCTGGCCTTTTCAAGCCAGAAAGCTCCCTCCTGCGAATCCTGTGGTACCTGCGAAGAAACATGGGACTAGGTAAGCGGGTCATAGGCAGTCAGAATTACGAGGCACATGCAATCTACATATTGCTGCTCGAAAATACTGCAGATTTCTTCCAACTCGAAAACGAGAACTCTAGGGACTACTTTAAAATACTACAAAGCTTAATGCATCTTACTATCCGGGTTTTTATAAGGGTACTTCTCGGGTACGATAAGGTTTTCAAGTTAGTTTATGCTTGTGGTGCAATGCTGGGGCAAAACATTTACCGTGGGGGCTTCTCACGTTTCGACTTCTAATAGTTCCAAATGAGATTGGTACGTCATTGTTGTGACCGCTGTCGAATTAAACTCATTCTGCTCAGCGGTCCGAATCCCTCTCTAGAGCCGCCGTCAGCATCTCAGCCGCTGAGGGCACGCCGTTCCCAGAGATCAGAAGCATCCCAAGGTTGTACTGCCTCGGCAGCAAATAATTGATAGCAGAGTTTAGGGCTCAGATTTTTGCGGGTTTCCACAATCCTGCGGTGACATGCGTCAAGAGCCCTATAATATAAACCCGTCACAATGGGATCCTCGTCATGGCTATCCGACGCCTGACTATCCACACCGGAAAATGAAGAAAGACCTTGGCGTTTTAATTCCACAATATCGCCAACCTGCGACACATGGCAAGACTAGCATGCCAAGCTTCCTTGTCAGCAACTGTGTCGTTTGCATGGTGGGGGGTGCTAAGGATGGATCGGGGCGTGAAGCTTCCTCCAAGGACACCGAAGACGTTGAACTGTTCGGGCGCACGGTGGCGCAAGCTGGAAACTTCAGGAGCGGAAACGGAAAGTTCAATGGTTCGATCTTGAACATGGGATATTCTTGCTCAAAGGCGTTTCAGGTTCGGCACTCCGTTGTGAGTATTGCCCCAAATCAAAACAAGAGAAGTGCAAGGCAGCCCTTGTCGCGGTAACAATCGACGTGCTCATGCCTGACATCCTGTAGACCAACACAGCTCTCGAGCTTTCAGCCGCCATTCGTGGTGCTGGGTTTGCAATCTCTGTGGTCCGAAATTTGCAGCAGGTTGTGGGCAATCATTTGCAGGTGAGTGGCCTTCAACATACAGCCACCCACCGCTTCGTGCGCATGCACTGAAACCGATAGCTATAAGACATAGATGCCCAGATCTTCCACTACAAGCAGATATACTCCTTTAAGCATATCATCTTTTCGTACAAGGTAAACTCCTTACGAGGCATATACTGGAAGATCTGGGTGAACCATATATAATTCAATCGTGTATATCACGTTAATTATAAATGAAACTCTCCACGATGCGTCCTGCGGCATCCTACATATCTCTGAGCGGCAAAGGCCAATGCGTCCAGCCACCATATCTTGCTGCGGGGTGGGCAGCGCGACTTACACCGCTTGCAGCCACACGGGCCATGATGTGGCCTGCCGCATCCTATCTGTGGGGCAAGGGTCGCGGAACCGCAATGCGTCCAGCCGCCGCAACCCGCTGCGGCCTGGAAGACGACGATGCAAGCAACCCGCTTGCACCGGCGGCATCCACCATGCGTCCAGCCGCCGCCTCTCGCTGCGGCGTGGAAGACAACGCAAGAACGCCGCTTCCACCTTGCGTCCAGCCGCCGCCTCTCGCTGCGGCGGGGAGAACGATGCAAGAACGCCGCTTGCACCGGCAGCATCCACCATGCGTCCAGCCACCGCCTCCCGCTGCGGCGTGGAGGACTATGCAAGAACGCTGCTTGCACCAGCAGGATCCATGATGCAACCTGTCATTTCCAATCTCTGTTGGGTAAGAGGGCCGCGGGACCGCAATGCGTCCAGCGGCAGCATCTCTCCGCGGGGTTAGACATTGCGAGGACGCCGCCTGCATTGGCAGCGACCACGACGCGACCTGCCGCATCCTGTCTCTGCAGGACAATGGTTCCCAGGACGCCACATGCACGGGGACGGGCAGCATCCAGATTGCGTCCGCTTGCTGGGTGTGGCTGTTCGGCAATGCGCGACATCATTGCGTCATGCTGCACATTACTGACACACGTAGACTTACATCTTGCTGCATACAAACGGCACATGTAAACCAATCGTATCAATTCAATCTCTGGCAGCTGAAAAGCGTAACTGCAGTTACAATGGCCGAGGCCACTCACGAACCTGCTCGCATTCACCGATAACTGCACTGGGTGCAGCTCTTGCAACCAGCATTTGAGAAAACGGTACAGTGCCAGCGGCCACTTGAAGGCACCTTACCCGGCTGCATAGAACCGTCCCCACTGGATGTTGAACGCTCCAGCTAGAAACAGCAGAGATGCAATGCTTCGATACCACCTGTTCCCAGTGCTTGGGGCGTCCTAAGTATAGGGCTTGAATGAATTGCTGGTTTAGGGTTTATGGTCTACGGCTTTTGGACTCTGAATCAGGCAGTTTAGCAAGAGGTTCTGCCAACAAGCAGAGAAGGTTTCTTAAACCATGCCTGAGCCGGAACCCTGCAACACCTACCTGTTCAGGTTCCTTATCATGAGTTCTTATACAAGCAAATCCGTAGAAAGGTAGGCTATTTGGGCTTAGCCTGAACCTCATCTCGGTCTCGACCCGCGGACCTGTGTAGAGGTCCTAAGCCGTAAACCCTGCATATGTCAACACTCAGCCCTAACCCCTAAGCCCTATAAACCCTAAACCCTTAACCTAATCCTAAACCCTAAACCCTAAACCCCCAACCCTAAATCTTCAACCCTAAATCCTACACCCTAAACCTAAGCCCTGCGTTCTTACTCCTGAACCCTTAACCTTAACCTCGAAGACACGTCCGTCAATCCCTGACCCTCTGAGACTCAGCTCTTCGACGTCTTAAAGTAGGACTTGGGATCAGCAGGGGGACCCTTCAAACTACAGACATTCTCATTTCGGTCCTTTTTAAGAGAGCCATAAGTAGGACTAAGAAGGGTCCCCTTTAAGGGGTCTCCGTAACCGTAAACCCTTAACCCTAAATCCTACACCCTGACCCCCTAAACCCTAAATCCCAAACCCTAAACCCCTAGAACCTAAGGGTCCCCTTTGAGGGGTCTCCCTACTAGCTCGGATAAAGGCGGCTGTGGAGCCTCTGGGCTTGCGGAGGTGCTTAGCCCAGATCTTCCAATATCCCGTACTTTAAGCAATATACCTCAGGGTTTAAAGTTCCGGATTCAGGGTTTCGGTTCTAGGGTTTAGGGCAATTCAGGGTTTAGGGTTTACCTCACTCAGACCATACCCTTTTAACTCTGGAATTTCGGAAGGTTTGGGAGATTCTGGGGATCCCGTCATTCAGGGTTATCCTTATATCGTCAAACAGAACTTCTGCTTTACCTCAACAGCAAAAGGAAGATCCGCCAGAATTAGACCATAATGTAGAAGCCTTATAATAAGTAGAGTTTTGGGGTATATTATACTACAACTAGAATAAGGCGCCCCCCAAAATAGTGTAGGTAATTATAAAGGCCTCTATATTATTTAAAGCTCCCCACCTTTTTCTTCGCAGTTTTTTGCGGCAGCCAAGGTCACTTCGAAGGATTCGAGGGGTGAGTCGCGTCTTGGCGCAGGATGCCCCGGACGCTGAAGCCTGATTGGACGGAGCCCTACACCCTGTTTTACAGTTTCCCTGGACCCTTTACAGCCTGCGGCTTTAGGGCTCTTTAGATAACTTCTAACAAAGTCCTCAAAGCGGTAAGTTATTTGGGGTGTTATAAGGTAAGGGCTCCTTAGATAATTGTCCTTAACGAAGTAAACTATTTGGGGGTGTTAAGGTAAGTTCCTAGGTAGGGTCAGCCCTTACGAACCGGACCTATACCTGTACCCTCAACTAGCAAACACATGCCCGAATATTTTGTTGGGTTGGGTATTAGGGTTTATAGGGTTTAGGGTTTAGAGTTTAGGATTTTTTCCACATTACCTCGACCCTGGAACGCAGTCCCTTTTTGGCATGCCGCTGTTCATGGCCAGGATCCTATGATAAGAAGCTGCGGTACCTACTAGGAACCCTTGAAGGAACCCTAGACCCTAAACCTTTAGAGGAACCCTATAAACCCAAGCTAAACACGCACAGGAACCCTTAAAATTCAAGGAGCCCTAAACCCCAACCCATAGAGGAACCCCTGCTGGTACTCAGAACCCTAAACCCTAAACCGAATTCCTGAACCCTAAACCCTAAACCCTAAACCCTTAACCCTAATTCCTAAACCCTAAACCTTAGGACCCTTTGGCCAAGATTTGCCGGGCCACTGTTCTCGTAGACTCCCTCTCGGACCTGCGAAACTCTGGATCACAAGGGTTCAGGGTTCACGGTTTAGGGTTCAGAGTTCAGGAGTCAGGGTTTAGGGCTTAGGATGCAGGATTCAGGGTTTAGGGTTCAGGGTTCAGGGTTTAGGGTTGGGGGTTTAGGGTTCAAGGCTTCGCCTAAAACCTAAAACAGACAATCATTAAAAGGGAACCTCAGCGTTGAAGTAGAACCTACGGGAGGGGGAGAGCGTTGAAAAACACAGTGGCTGCCACGGGCAGGTATCCCGAAACCCTATTATTACATCGCCACTCCCGGGGGCCCCTTAACCCAGATCTTTCTTCAATACCCCTCAATTCAGGACTGTGCGGTAGAGCAAAGCCTAAACCCTAAACCCTAAACGATAGGATCCTATGTGGGATTCAAAGGCGTATTCCATTCGGCTGGGTTGGAAGCTCTGAAAAACAGGATAGAACCCCACAGTTAGCAGGTACTTCAAGCCACAGCTTCAGAGGATATTATGTCCCCTTAGTGCCTTAAGTAGCAGGTAACGTGAGAGCTTCTAAACTCAAAGCCCCCTAGAGCCTCCTTTCTCTAAAGCCTCTGTGGTTTTGGTTTGAGGGCCAGCCTTTAATGTCTTTAGGGTTTAGGGTTTAGGGTTTAGGGTTTATCCAGCCTTGCAAGTCCTACACCCTGAGGCTAACTAAACCCGAGTCCCTCATCCTCAAGCACCAACCTTCTGACCTCCAAGCCACAAAGCTCCGTAGTAAACCAAACAACAATCTCGTCCTTCGTAATACCGGGCGATACCGGGGCCTTCATAATTAGAACAGGGTCGTGGGGTATGTGTCGTAATACTTAATTATACTTCTCAACGGACTGTAAAGGGATGCTCTTCCTGATTATTGCCCTAAACCCTACACCCTCATAGATCCCTGTGCCCGTCGACGCGAACTCCTGCACAGGCTCCAGAAGATGGAACACCGCAACAAAAAAAAATATACTACTAATGAGGTTCCCATTAACAAACGCGACAGTACCTTGAAACAAGGCAGCCTAAACCCTATAAACCCTAAACCCTAAACCCCTAAACCCGCAAACCCCTAAACCCCTAAACCCCTAAACCTTAAACCCTGAAACCTAAACTCTAAAATCCTACGTCCCAGTCCCTAAACTCTAAAACCCTGCAGACCTGCAGTTTGAACCACTTCGCCGGCTCGGGAGGCCGCTGAATCGGAACTTCCTGGGCTCTTGGCTTAGGGCTCACCTCTAGCCGAAAACACCTGCCTTTTTTAGGGTTTAGGGTTTAGGGTTTAGGGTTTAGGGTTGGGGTTTAGGGTTTAGGGTTTAGGGTTCCTCAAATGGGCTTCTATATATAGTTCCTTAAAAAAGAACGGTAGGTCGTTTGGGCTCAGGGCTTACCCTGACCCTCCAGATACTTAGTATGCCCTCTTTAGTAGGTACCTGCACGGCTCACCTCTAGCCGAAAAAGCCTGCCTGTTTTAGGGTTTAGGATTTAGGGTTTTCGGGCTTCAGGGCTTGTGGTTTAGGGTTTTGGGCGAAGGGTTTGGGCTCAGGGGATTTAGGGTTTATAGGGCCCTGTAGTCGAAAATACCTGCCTTTCTTAGGGTTCCTTATTATGGTTTCTATATCTATATCTATATATATATATATAGATATAGATATAGATGTAGTTCCTTAAAGCGGTAGGTCTTTTGGGCCCCAGGCAGGGCTTAGGATTTCGGGCTAAGGGTTTAGGGTTCCGGGCGTAGGATTTAAAGCTTAGGTCTTACGGCTTAGGGATTAGGGTTTGCGCACCCTGAGGTTGCCGTAAATGAGATCTGTAGGATTTTAAGGAACGTAACTTCAGGTACCACAATAGGGATCTATAGTACATAATCTTATTATGACAACTAACCTTGAATCAGTTGCTGAACTCCAAACCCGTATGAAACCCTTCACGAAACCCTGAATCTGAGGTATTTCAAAATCGCGTACTCTAAACCCTATAAACCCGAACCCCCACACCCTAAACCCGACCTGTAGCCGAAAAGCCAATCTTTCTGCGGCTGCTTATTTGCCTCGGCCCCGGCCGAAGCCGTCGAAGGATCCCACGGGGATTCCTTGTTTCCCCGCTTAGCTGGCAGACAGCCCCCCCCCCCCCCCCCCTTAAACTCGGATTTCGGGTTGGCAGCGAGTTTGCTGACGGAGCGTAAATCTGGGCGTAGTTTTTGCTGCGTGATCACTTCGCTCCGCCACCTCCCCCCCTCCCCGGCTTCCCTCGTCTCCTCCCGTCAAGGCAAGACGGGCTAGCTTACAAAATTCGTGAAGCCGATGCCCTTGCAACATTTGGGAGGTTGCATACAAGACCAGTGAGAAGTGTGATACGATTGTTATGGTAACGTTTATGGGATAACGCAGGGAATGTATCACCTTTTCGCGTGGGATTATTGCTCGGAGCCTCAGCGTGAAAACAAATACCGACATTAAAGACAACATTATGAAGCAAATGCGCTCATTCACTCAAGACCTCACCTGTGTGACCGTTGCTTTCCGAAACAATGCACCTGCTTCAAGTACAGCCGGCCGAGGCGGACGACGCAAAGCGTGCAAGAATATGGTTTCTAACGCATAACGAAAGAGGGTTTTCTGGCCGCAGGTACTAGCTTATTCCCGAACTCCAAACCCTTATGATAGAACTATGGTACCCTGAACCCTAGACCCTACTAGCTTAAAGTAAGTGCCCGAACATGAGCCCGGCTTCCGAGAGGTTCGGAGGAGTGTCCACGCGATGGTCGATGCTGAAAAGCCTCAGATAGGCTTGAGTTTCGGGTTTAGGGTTGAGAGCTTATACAAGACACACATTCTGTGCTTGCATGCATACATGTATGCATGTGCATACGAACATACAACTGTAGGTCCATGCAAGCATAAATGCCCGCATGCATGCATACGTGTAAACTTCACATGCATTTATATGTACATATGCATATATATATATATGTGTGTGTGTGTATTTACCTATTGTGTATATGTTCACGACTGGAAACTGTCCCTGCAGACAAGGACTTCAAGCCCTACCCTTCGCCCGAAACCCTGAACGCAACATTTAACCCTCAGCGCATCCTATGAAGGGATGACGAGACCTAGCAGCCAGGTGGGGTGCAGTTGAACAGCCGGAACTATGAGGACGACAGCCCCCAACCGGGCTACTTGTAGGTGCCGTCCCTCTTAAAATCTATGTTCCCGTGAACTCATACAACAGCCTCCTTTGGCAGCACCCTAAACCCTAAACCCTAAACCCTAAACCTTACAACCTAAACCCTAAACCCTGATGCAAACACCGTAACTGACAAAGCTCAGGGGACCTCCCTGTAGTATGGTTCTCTGTGCAGAGGCCGGGAAGCACATGCCAGTTCAGGCCATCGAGAGAAGACAGGATATCGAACGAAACCTTGGGCGGAGTGCGCTCCCTACCGGCATGGGGCCTGCACAGCTTAGGGTTTAGGGTTTAGGGTTTAGGCTTGAGTGCTGAAGTGGCTTGGGAGTTCCATTGCAAGGGAGCCGGTTTTTGTCTGGGATCCAGACCCAAACCCTAAACCCCTGACCACAAAGCCCAAAGCCCAAACACGTAAGCCATGAACCCCAAACCCGAGACCCAACAACCGAAAGCCGAAGTGCCAGTTGATAAGAACAATGTGCACGAAGGTTCCATGTACCTAAGTAGTGCGTCCCTTGGCCTTGAAGGGGCCCCTGTAGAGTAGCATGAGGGTCAATGTGTTTCTTCATACGTACATACACACACACACACATATATATATATATATATGTATATATTCACATACACATACACGTTGGTGTGTATATATACATAAATAGAATTGTGTATGTCACAGATAGATAGATAGATAGATAGATAGATAGATAGATACTGATTTGATAGATAGATACATAGATAGATAGATAGATAGATAGATAGATAGATAGAAAGATAGATAGATAGATAGATAGATAGATAGGTAGATAGACTAGATAGACTAGATAAATAGATCGATGGATAGCTAGATAGATAAAACAGATAGATGGATAGATAGATAGATAGATAGAAAGATAGATAGATAGATACATAGGCAGATCGATGGATACGTAGGTAGGTAGCTAGGTAGGCAGGTAGGTAGGTAGGTAGGTAGGTAGGTAGGTAGGTAGGTAGGTAGGCAGGCAGGCAGGCAGGTAGGTAGGTGGATGGATAGATAGCTAGTGAGGTAACTATTTATGTCAGTTAGGCAGTTTGGTAGTGTGCAGTGGGCATTGGTTGGCTGGTTAGCTAGATAGTTTGATATATTGGCAGGTTATTGGGCAGATCGTAACTTAGTAGATAGGTAGACACGCAGGCAGACAGACAGACTGACAGAAAAGCAGGCAGACAAATAGGCAGACAGGCAGACAGATATTTCTCAACTGGCTCTAAGTTTTGATGAAGTGGAACACCCTACACTCTAAACCCTAAGCCCTAAAGCCCTAAACTCTAAACACACACACACAAGCTCTCAAGCCCTAAATCCGCCAACCCTAAAGCCCGAAACTCCCAAACCCTAAACCCTGAACCCTAAACCTCTGGATATGTACTCCCTGACTTCGTTTGGCCTGTCGCGCCTCGCTTAGCAGCCTGGGCACACGAAGAATTCAATTTCTATTTAGCCAGGCATATATATCGGAGTCAGGATCTGGAGTGTGCGGCTTGCGGCTCGACTTCACAACCAACCTTAAACCGCAAACCATAAATCTTAAAATGCCTTCAATCCGAAACCCCGAAACCCTAAACCCCAACACCTTCAATCCTTAAACCTTGCAAGACTACTAATTTCCATCCTTGTGGCTGGGGCATGAGCTGCGAACAGAAATACGATGCCCATGATGTAGACGCAATGGTGCGGCAGCCTTTCTTAGCTCAGCAAAACGATCATCTATAACGGGTTTAAAGTTTCTAAAGGGTTCTATAAAGGTTACTGCTGTAGGGCTTTGGGTTCAGGGTAAGCTCGGGTGCAACTTTGAGGTAGAGATGTTTCTGCATTACGCTCCAAGGTTTCAGGTTTAGGGTTTAGGGTTTGAGGTTTAGGGTTTAGGGTTTGAAGCGGAACCAACATGCCTGCATAGTACCTTGCCATACTGCAGGCTTGCACGGGATGACAAAGGACACACTGATTACACAAAGCACCCGGCAATATATACAAACTTGTCATGTAACCTTAAAGCCTAAACCGTAAAACACCAAAACCTTTGCAATAGTTGTTGTACCCTATATGTGTGTGTATATATATATATATGTATTATACTTATACACGCATATACTCCTGTATACACGATGTATATCTAAAGAACTCTGCTAGCCGGAAAGATTAGCCGAAAAGAATCACTACTTCAAGCCAGCCGACATCCATGAGATCCATCCCTTCTCCATCCGCACACTCCCGTGATTCCTGCAGGAGCAAGATTTCGGGTGTTTGTCAAGGCTCCTAAGCCCTAAACCCTAGAACCTAAACCAAAGACCCCAAGCCCAGCCAACGCTTAACCCTAAACCTGAAAACCTGAGCCTTTGAAGCCTAACACTTAAAGCTCCAAGTTCTTTTCCAACCTCAAGGCCTGCATCCCGAATCTCACGGCTTAGGGTTTAAGACTTTGGGAACATAATATAGAGTAGAATAGAGTAGAATGGAACAGAACCGAACAGAAAACAAGATAGTATCATATCATATCCTGTAGCATCATATCAATTCGCTATATAACCGAGTATATCATCATGCCCTACAATACGATACTCAAACTGCGCCGGGGCGACGACGCACTATGTTGCGGTTTGGGGTTTATGGGGTTTAGGGGTGAAGTTAAGGTCTAGGATATAGGCTTTAGGGTTCGAGGCTTAAGCCTTGGTGCTCACGGGTTTAGGATGGTTTACGGGTTTAGCAGCTCAGGATTTGGGGTTTAAGGTCTAGGGTTTATCGGATTTAAAGTTAGGCTGAAGGCCTTGATGTTTAGCATGGGCTGTTTGGGGCTTGCTGTGACGAGGTTTAACTTAAGCATTCTGCTCGAAGACCCTACGCCCGAAAACCCTAAATTATAGTGACTCCCGGGACCCCGGATACTCAAGCTCCGATAGAAGGGACTAATTAGAGTGATATAACCATTGACCAGACTTCGATAGTCTAGTATCATTGTTGTTCCAAACTCCGTTACAAAGGTTGTGGCAAAAGGGACCACGCCCCCCGATGTCCTGGCGACATCGCGCCTTGGTTGGCTGCGTAACTCTTCGGTGACTGAACTGCGTGTAGCTATCGGCTTAATCAGTATGTTTTGATGTTGGCTTTCATCTGCAAAATAAGCACCTATGCTCTAAACCCCCTAAGCCCTAAACCCTCGACCCTTCAGCCCTTAAGCCCAAACTGAAGCCCTTTAAAGGCCTTAAGCCCTGCATCCCATGCTCCGATACTCCCAAAACCCTGAACTCTACTCCCTGAATCTGAACCCTAAACCCTAAACCCTAAACCCTATACACCCTTAACCCTGAATCTGCTGAACTCTGAACCCTTGAGAACCCAAGAGGCCGAAGCCCTCAACGGTTTGAGCCATAAGAACGGTTTAGGGTTTAGGGTTTAGGGTTTAGGGCCCCAACATCCCCTAACTAAGGAATATATCTTAAGTTATAGTAGAAAACATCCCCTAATGAAGGAATCGACATTAAATCACAGCAGGAACATCCCCTAATTAAGGCAAAAAAACCTTAAACTATGGTAGGATCCCTCATGCGATTTAAAGTCTATTTCCGTTTATTCCCTACGGCGTAGGGTTTAGAGCTTATACCCAAACCCTCAACCCTATAGGGTGTAAAGCAACCTTGGAGCTTATAGATAGAGTACCCCAAAAAGCGTAAAGCTTTAAAGGTTACCTACTCTACTACCCCTAGGCCCTAAAGTAGTTCCGTTTTGGGGTTCATATTTAGGAATCCTATTAGGTAATCCCCAAAAGGAAGTACTATGGGGCCTATAGGTACTAAGGATCAGACTAGTTTACGCGTTTAGGAACTATGGGGTTTCCTTCGGTTTAGGGTTTAGGGTTTAGGGTTTAGGGTTCAGGGTTTATGTTGTCAGGCTTGTAATCCCCAGTTCCCTGCCGGCCTAAGCACCATGACCCTGTTGCCAGTGGAAAATACTGCACTAAGAAAAAAGCGTTTGTAGTGGAATGTGGGTAGTCCCCAACCTAAACTTCCATAAACCCTAAACCCCAAACCCTAAACCCTAAATCCCACAGACCTTAGCAAGCTGAGACTCAGCTTGTTCATGCTCTTGGTCTCTGTCTCCGCCTTTACCTCTCAAAGCCAGGAAGACACCCTCAAGGGTCCTTTCTGCGTTCATTTAAGGGCACCATGAGGGTTTAAGGGAACAAGGGTCCATGTACCCAAATAGTGTACGCTTGTGCGTAAGCGTCGTCCCTACAAGCGGGACTTTGAAAGCATAATTTGTGTATACTATTTGGGTTCATGGACCCATTGGGCTGATCAAAGCCCCCTAAGCGCCGGGATTCTGGCAAGATCCTAAACTCTTGCGTCGAATGAAGCATGAACCCTGCACATGCATGCAACCCTAAACCCTAAAGCCTCGAACCCTGAACCGTTAAGCCCTTGAACCCTATAAACCCCTAAACCCCACACCCTAAACACTCCTTAAACCCAAAACCCTAAACCCTAAACCCTTAAATCCTAAACCTTAAACCGTAGTACATGCAGGACCTCAAGGACCCCTAAACCCTGAAAATCTAAACTGATATCCTTCAGTGAGCCTCAAGGCCAGATGCTGAAACGTAAGCGTAATGTAGGGGCCTTAATGATTAGAATATATAGGGTTTTGGGTTTTAGGGTTTAGGGTTTTGGGTTTTGGGGGTTTCCTTTAAAGGGTTCCTTAAAGGGCTCTATAAGGGCTACGATAAGGGTTTGGGGTTTAGGGGCCTTAATAATTAGAATATAGGGTTTTGGGGGTTCCTTAGTAGAATTATAGTATTACCCGAAACCCTATGCTAATTTTAAGGCCCCTTTATTAACCTCTGGACCTGAATGACGGCCTGGTAAAAAGGAACCAAAGAAAGCTGAACCCGACGGTTCAGGGTTTAGGGTCCAGGGGTCGAAACAACAACAACAACAACAGTCCAAAGACCCTATACAGCATGATACCTCAGGGTCTGAATCAGGCTGAATACCTTTTCGCCCCCCAAAAAAGGTAACCTTCTGAAATAGCAATAGCAGGAATTCACAAACCCCAAACGGTTGAAGGTTACGTACCCAGAACCGAAGATACGGCTGCACCGCCCCCGAAACCCTAAACCCTAAAATCTAAAACCTTAAACTCCTAAACTCTAAACCCTAAACTCTACAGCCCCAACTCTAAACCCTAAACTTCTACTCCCTAAACTCTACAGCCTCAGATCAGGGCGTCTGGTTAACTCAATGCCATAATGCCCTAAAGCCCTGCGGCTCGGAGGGCAGTGGAAGTGCGTACGTAGACATGTAGACACCTTGCAGAACCTAGCGAGAAGCAGGGAATTATACCATGACTCAATTCCTTCGGATGTTGAGTAGGACTACTTAAGTAACCCTTTGGGACAAGTCAACTGCCGTAACCATAGCCAGGCCTAGGTTGAACCAAGCGGCAACGTCGGAGTTTCCAAGCGTGACGTTGACCCAATATCCCAGAAAAGGGCCCTCCTTTCCGCCACGCTCGTACATGTTCCAGAGTGAGCCCAGCACAGAAAAGGAGTACCGGGCTTGCTTCCTGAGTCGGGCAGCTAAGGACAGAAACCTTAAGCCTTATCTTGAACTACGAAGACCTATTTTTTTAGGGTGCTTAACAATTCTTTCTAGGGTTCATCATGAGAACCTAGAGAAAGTTAGTTATGGTAGTTTACGGCTAGGATCCGATAACACTAGACAGCACCAACAAAAGTGAGCTAGAGACTAAAGGCAGAGCTTAAACATGTGCTCCGAAGCCTCAAGCTAACTAGGTAAGGCAAAGAAACGCTATCGCCCGAAGGCGTACCTTATGGGAGGTCCTCTGCGCATCAAGACATGCTACCAGTTTCGGATAGAGTGGTCCAAGTTTCCGACCCACGACAACCACCGTGTGGTTGTCGATGACGGGTTGCAGATCGTCGTCGAGGGCAGAAGCCTTCGGACTATGCAAGTCCTGTGAGTCTCTGCTTCTTACCCTACCTGGACCCTAAGGAACCTCCCTTTTTAGGGTTCATTATGATTTCCTTATACAAGTCCTTATCAAAAAGGTAGGTTCTTCAGGGTCCAGGTAAGGCTCTAAGGCTTCTACGGACTCTGATTTCATGGCTTCTTGGCCCAAAAGACATCCTACATAAGGCTTTTTGGGCTATTTTGAGCCTGAAGGTTAGTTCTTGAGGTTAAGGGGTCCTTGTGTGCCCTTAAGACCAATATTGATATGATGCTCACTCGCCCCTTGGAGTTTGATCGCCATCAAAAACGCTTTCAAAGAACACAAAAAGGCGCAGGGCAGGCGGAAATTCCCTCAGGATATCTGGTTTTTTTTAAATCGGACCAGGATCGAACCTCTTCCCTAAACCCTAAACCCCAAACCCTAAATCCCAAAGCCAGAAAGCCCAAGCTCTAAACCCAAACGCCCCGCAAGACCCGGTCAAACTCTTCAACAGCCCCTCTACTGTCTGGTGCTGAGTAGGGAATGGGGGAATGGGTTATAGGGACTACTATAAGGGACCTTAAAGGGGCTATCGTAGGGATCCATTCCCCCATTCCCTACTAAGCACCAGACAGGCTAAGACTAAGACTCCCTTGACTAATCAAAACCCTTACGCACACTGCAAAAGCCTGGTACAACTTCTTACAGCCCCACAAAGCCACTGTAAACCCCATTATGCAAGCTGAAACCCCAAGCTTAAAACCCTAAGCCCCTCAACCAAAAACCCTAATCCTATAAGCCCTAAAGCTGAAGACCCGAAATCCCGTGCCCTGCCTTCCTTTTGCCCCAGCCTTGCAGCAGCTGGAACAGCTCTTCCTGCCTGAGCAGAAACAAGGCTTCACAAGGATTCGGGTGTAAGGTACGCCACGGTTTAGGGTTTAGGGTTTAGGGTGTAGGGGGCTTGGGGTTTAGCATCCTATAGGGCTGGAGACGGATTCACTGCGGATTTTGTGGATGATAAGTACTAAATGGCAAATCGCGTGTATTGGTTAGTGTAGGGTAACAATAGGAAAGTGGTTGTGGAGTATAGATACGATTATGATATAAAACCTGCATTGCCCAAAATAAGGAATATACCAGAATTCCCATAGTATAGGGTCCTTCCTTAAGGTAATGCAGTATCATCAACAATAGTATAAATACAATCCTGAAAGCAGGGGAGTTTTTTTAAGGAAATGCCAATCCCTGGAAGGAGCGACTCTTTTCAAGCTCACGTCTTGCAATTCCCAGATCTTCCACAATCCTTTACAGTGAATCCCCAGAGAGCTGGAACATGGATTTAGGATGATTCGTGATGGGTTCCCATTTGCTTTACCGTAAGAGCATGAGGATAATGATGTTCCAACTTTCTGGCTGATCCTTTAAGTTTGGAACATACCTTAAATCATATTTCGGTCCTTACACAATAGCTTAAGCGATCTTCCTGAATTTAGGGGTTTTGGATGATCTGAGCAAGCATGCAAGTCCTTGGCCGTCGCCAGCAATCTGCGCAGAGCAGAAACGAATCAAACGGTGGAAGGAAAACATGAGCCCAGAGAGCCCAGGGTTTAGGGTTTAGGGTTTAGGGTTTAGGGTTTAGGGTTTAGGGTTTAGGGCGAGGAGGAGTAAACCTTAACTCGTAGCATTCAGGCACCTATGGAAATCCTGAACCCGTACCACCACCCAGATCTTCCAAAATCCCTTAACTAAGGAATCTCTCTTAGCTCCTGAATTACGGCATTTTGGAAGATATGGGCCCTAAGCCCTACATCTACACCCTATCCTAAACCCTAAACCCTAAACCCTAAATAAGGTTTAGGGTTTAGGGTTTAGGGTTAATACTCTGAACGCTAAACCCGAACCCCTACGAGACCCAGGAAGCCCCGCACTGCAGCGCATGCGGCACAGAGGTCCAGCTGGCGTGCAACCCAGCGGCTCAACGCACAAGAACGGTGAGCTGAGGACCTTACAAATTTAGGGTTTAGGGTGTAGGTGTAGGGTTTAGGGGTTCGGTTAGGGTTTAGGGTTTAGTGATCCTGGTGCAGGAATAAGCCTGAAATCATTATAGGATCCCTGATATGATCCAGGGAGTATTCTTGAATTTCTAGCACATTGGAAGCTCCGTTCAGCCAGCCTAACACCCCCCAGTTAAGCGGGATATACCCTAAATGTCCCAAAATCTAAGATTACAGCCCGGACGGGCCAGTCTGTTATCTATATTGAGGGGTTTAAGCTGAGCTTTCTGGGGAGGACGGAAGGACGACCATGGCTTCAAGGCAAACTAGCTGATGTAGGGGCCTTAATAAGTAGAATAGGGTTTTGGGGAGGGTTCCTTATTATACTCATAGTATAATATACCGCCAAACGCTATTCTTATCGTTAAGCACGGAATATTTTTTCCCAAAACTGTCCAGACCATCCAAAATGCCCCAATTTATGGAATATATATATATATATATATATGTATATATGTATATGTATATATATATATATATGTGTGTATGCACCCACCCTTACGCCATACCAAAGATCGTACGACGACATGTTGAGGTATGTCCCTTAATTCCGAGTGTTTGGCAGATCTGGGTCGTATCTTACATGATCCTTGAACCCTGAACCCTACGTAGTACCCTAAACCCTGGATCCATAAGAATGGCGTCCCCAGCGAGGTCGTTCGAACTCGAAGGGTTGAGAGTTTGAAAGCTTCGAACTTCGAAGATTGATTTTGTTTCGAAGGTTTCAAGGGCGCTGGAGTTCGAAAGTTTGGGCACCTTGGCCTGCGCAAGCCGGCGTCAAAGCTCGAAACTTTCAAACTCGAACACTGCAATCATTCGAACTTTCAACCTTTTGAACTTTCGAGCTCGACTAGTATAGCGGCCTTAACAATTAGAATAGGGTCTTGGGGCCCACTATACTATACCTATAATAAGGAGCCCGGTTTAGGGTTTAGGGCCCCAAAAATGTCCTGGTCATTAAGGCAGGCCCCTTCTTCGCTTCTTCAAACTCAAACTTCAATCTGGTGCCGCGCTCGAGTTCGATCGGATCTCCACATTTGAGACTTTGGAGACTTTGAAACTTCGAAGGTTTGACGGCTTCGAAAGTATCGAGCTCCAAAATTTGACCGCTTTATTTTAAGTTGTAACATCGAAACTTCGCTGCTCCGTGAGCCCAACTGCACCTTCCAGGTGTCCTTCACTTCATGTCCCTCACACGGCACACATCGCTCTGGCTTCAAACTTTCAAGCTGGATCCAAACTCGCACTCACCTATTTCAATCTCGAAGCGCTCGAACTATCGGACTTCAAACTCTTGGTTCTCCAAACTTTGCAAACTTTAAAGCCCTGCAATCTCGTCTTACTGTCTGTCTTACATTTGATACGTTCCAAGTTTCAAAACAATCGAGGTCGAAAGACCCCACAGTTGCTCGTGACACCTCTCATCCGTGAGCCCTACACTCTTGGTCTTAAACCCTAAACCCCAAACAGCCAAACAGCTACCAACCCGAGTACCCTAAACCCTAAACCCAACAGACCCCCAATCCTTGCTCTGGACCCCCCTACAAAGGAACTCCTGCATACTATTACCCTAAACCCTAAACCCTAAACCCTAAATCCTAAACCCTAAACCCTAAACCCTAAACCGACCCCAAATCCTTGTTCTGCAACCCCATACAGGAAACCTTTCATAATCACAGAGTCCTACAAACCTGGGTTAAGGGTTTAGGGTTTAGGGGTTTAGGGTTTAGGGTTTAGGGTTAAGGGGCCCCCGAAACCCTAAACCCAAAAACCCTAAACCCACAGAGCCCGCCTCGTCCAAGAGCCGAGGACTTATCGCAGGGCGAAGTCGCAGAGCGTCCTCTCATCCCCTATAGTTTCCTTTAAAGCCTTTAAGGGTTCCTTTACTGGTTCCATTTAGGGTTGCTTTAAGGGTATTTTTAATGGTTCCTTTCAGGGTTGCTATAAGGGTTCCTATTCAGGGTTCGTTTAAAAGTCCATGTGCTCAAATCGTATATACCTTGGCCCCCAACGTAGCTGAACAGGGACACTGTTTGGGCGCATGAACCCTTACATAGGGAGCATGCCACTTCGGGGGTTTGGGGTTTAGGGTACAGCTCTAAGGAGTACAGCTCCCAAAGGGCTTTGTAAGAAAAAGAATTATTCAGAGAGTTGCAAACTTTCAGAACTCATATGATATAAGAAAGCTATACAAGCGCCCAAAGATTTGACGCAGACCCCTAAACCCTAAAGCCTAAACCCTAAACCCTAAACGAAGAGGCGCCTTGGGGTGAATCAGGATCTTCTCCAATGCCTGCAGTCGCAGATCAGCATTCTGACATCGATCGGCCAGCTGCAGCAGCTCGCACGCGGTCTCTGGCCTTTCTCACGGGCTGTATAAGGTGCTATAAAGGGGCCTTACTGATACATGTTTCTGCATATGGACAACTTTTCGTCCATACTATACTTAAAAGGTTACAAGACCATACAAACTTGAGTTGGGATTTGGGCTTTAGGGTGCTGCTGTATAAGGTTGGGGGTCTGTATAGGGTTTGGGCTTAGGACGAAGTGTATTAGTGCATTTTAATGCCCCTAAACCCTAAACCCTAAATAATATCGGGGGGGGGGGGCTTTGTCTAGAGCACATATTGGGACCTCAACCGTTATTTGCTGAAGCTCCCTGGAGCTGCCTCCAATGCCCAAAGAGTTTAGTGTTGAGGTGTCGTCCAGATTCGCCGAGGTGTACTGCTGTATGTGGACATGGATTGAAGGGTACAAGTGATCGAGGCTCTGCGATGAAGAGTATCATTCGTTCCTTCGAGGGTTACAGGTTTAGAGTTTAGATTTTCATAGGGGGTTTGCCCCAAGGCGCAAGTACGCAAAAAAAACAAAGTTTTGAAATACTATTGTAACTTGCATAGCTGTTGGCTCCTAAAGGACTGCTATTGGTGGGAAATGAACCCTCTTGCTACTGCACTGCACTGCCGCTTGCCTGCCACAACTTCGATGATTCATTGCTGGTTTGGCTCATTGGTGGTTCGGCTTAAAGTTTTGGGGTTAGGGTTAAGGTTTGGGGCTTATTAAAGTTCCCTAAACCCTAATCTCAGGATTTTCGGGTGGGGTTGCAAGGCTTAGGTCTTAGGTCTCGGGCACAGAGTCTCTAGAGTTCTTTCCCAGAGTGCTCTAGGTACTGTTGCGGAGGATACTTCCCCAAATCATTCCTGATACAGAAAACTCTACGTAAACCCAAAAGCGAAATTCGTTGTCCACTTCGAAGATTAGGGGTTGACTGGGAGGAGCTTGCATGTAACTCTACCTCCAACATGCTTACCGCCTTACCAAGTACCCTCAGTGTCCATCACAGGCTCCATGTGCCCAAATAGTAATGCACGTTGGTCTAAAAACAGTCTCTAATATACTGAAGCCTGAAACCTAAACCCTAATCCCTAAACCCCGAAACCCTACACCCCTAAACCGTAAACCCCAAACCCTACCCTTAGAAGAACCCATAAAGGTTGGCAAGGAAAAGCGAAAAAGGCCTGAGCTGCTTCTGGACAGCCTGCTTGCAGAGGCTCTGCAGCTTGTCCACCTCCGCCGTTGCGGGTTTAGGGTTTGGGCTTAGGGTTTTGGGTTTGGGGTTTTGGGTTTGGGGTTTAGGGTTGGCCTTCAACAAATTATAATAGGGTTTTGGGGCCCATTATACCGTAATTCAAATAAGGAACCACCAAAATAATATAGGTAATCCTTAGGGCCCCTACATTACTTCAGGGTTTAGGGTTTAAACTTTAGGGTTTTAAGGGGTAGAGTTTTAGGCTATAGGGTTCAGTGATGTTGGGTTTTAGGGTTTCCAGATTTGGGGTTTAGGCTTTAGGGTTAGACAATCCGTGTCCCTTTAGTAAAGCCTTCACAGATGCATCATAGTTGAAGCAGGCTCTAACCTAAACCCTAAAGCCTAAACCCAAACCCCAAACCCAAGGCTCCTTCTAAGGGGTGGGTCCCGCTCCTTCCGGCCTGCTCGCACCTGCCTTATTCAGCATCCAACGCTAACCCTGAAACCCTATAAACCCCAAGCCGCTGGCCCCAAGCCCTAAATCCGCCAAAAAACCCTATAAACCCTATAAGCAACAAACCCTTACTCCGAAGCCCTATTAAAACCCTAAAAACTCGAAAACCCCTAAACCCCAAATCCGAAAACCCCTGCAAAAACCTATAAACCCTGATCCGAACCACGAGTAGTTTGGGGATTTGCAAAGTCTGGCTCGAAACGGCACTGCATAGACTAGCCCATGGACTTTGAGGTCCCGACAAGGGGTTTTGGTTTAGGGTTTATGGTTTACCTGGTTGTTTTTTGTTTAAACCTTCCTTCTTAGGGATCCTTATTATGATTTCTGTTTTTAAAAGTCCTTAAAAAGGCAGGTTTATTCTTCGAGGTTAAGTTAGGGGTTAGGGTTTCGGGTTTAGGGTTAAGCAGTGTCTTAAGAGCATGCTCCGGGTTCAGCCTGAGGTAGTTCTCGTCTTGCTTACGTGGCTTCACATGTATGGTTTCGGCTTGCGCATTTTGGGGGGGCATTTCGACTTGACGGGTTAAGGCTGTGTGTCGCCCCGCTTTTTTTGTACAAGCCTCCCGAGGTTCTCAGATATACGTTGGGTTGCGGGTTCACGACGGTAGAGGGCCTACTTCATTGACGCTCAAGGGCAACAAGTGTTCGAGGGATTGGGGCACAGGTAGTTGTAAGGTACGGGTTTAAGGCCCATTGGGTGCGTTGAAGGGCTTGGTTGATTCTAGCCTATGGGTATGTACAAACCTAAGTATGCAAGACCAGAAGACGGCAGAATAGTTACATATGTGCATACATACAGACTGTTACATACATGTGTTTATATATATATGGTACCTACTATCTACCCCATTGATCTAGCCGAATCTAGCCTTTTCTCATCAGAAACATCTTTGGGGAAGGCTTTGGGCGGTTTGAAAGGCTCGCACAGGTTTCATTTTGAAGCAGGCGCTGGAAAAGAGTTCGGACTTGTACAAACCTTCGCCAAAAAAACAGGAAAATATCTGGCACACACTCAATCGAAAAGCCGATGCTACCAAAAGCGCAACAACACAAAACAGAAACTCAACTCTGGAGCTCTTCCCCGGATCCCCTGCGGCGTCGAACCCACAACTCTGCACCCACCATCCAGCTTAAACCCGATAAACCCTGACATCCTACCCCCCATAAGCCCTAATCCGTATACCCCCTAGAAACCCTCAACCCCAAACCCCCTATAAACCCTAAACCCATAACCCAAACACCAGATCCTGCGGCTCTGAAGCCCGAATTCTTCAACGCCGTAACTCCTGAAGCCCTGTGCCCTACGCATAGGCCCCATACTAGTTCCTTTTTGGGATTACCTTATAGGATTCTAAATATGAACCCCCAAAAGGAACTACTATGAGGCCTATGGGTAGAGCTCACCACAGGCGGCCTGGTATTTGTCCGCCAACATGCCCACCTCTCCGGTTTGGGGTCTGCCTAGACCCTTAAATGTAGCACCTTCTGTTTACGTAACTTGTTTTATGGTTAGACTCCTATTAAACTCCTATGATAAGACACTAAGGCAACCAACAAAGGTTACTACGGTTGATGATATAAATCCTGCATTACCCATAATAAGGAATATACCATAATTCCCATTGCTTAGGGTCCTGAAGGTCATGCAGGATTTAAATCATCAGCCGTACCTTTGAGGGTCCAGGCAAGTTTTGAGTGTCTTGGAAGCTCCATCCGAACTTATGAAGATCCCATGTCCTTTTCTTTTCCTGTGATACTGTTGATGATGTAAATCCTGCAGTACCGTAAGGACCCTATTCTATGGGAATCATGGTATATTCCTTATTATGGGTAATGCAGGATTTATATCATCAACCGTAGTGTAGGGTCCTCGTAGTCTGTAAAACTTTCCAATCTTCTTGCAACCTGTGTTGTCTCTTCCCAAGGCTCTGCTCCTAGGCATCACAGCTTTGGAGGGGAGGGGCAGCTGGGGGTTTAGCATTCAGGATCCATGAATTATACCAAACCCAGTGATCTCCAGTTCATGGGGTCTCTGGATCCGGGAAGGCGCGAGGTTCCGCATGAGTGTTCTTCGGACCTTGCCGGCGCACCCGCAACTTATTGAAGTTTAGGGTTCAGGGTCTAGGGTTCACGGTTTGTCCTAAACCCTGAGCCCGAAACCCCCAGGGTTCAGGGTTGAGGGTTTGGGTTCAGGGTTTAGGGCTTAGGGCTTCAGGGTTTGGCGTTTAGGGCTTAGGGTTCGTGTTTCAGGACCTATACGGGTTTAGTATTTGCCCAAAACACCAAGACTTTATGCTGCTAGCGCGGGCTGAAAGGTTCTGGATGTGGAATTTAGGTCTAAAGCAAACTGTTTTGTCCGCACCCTGCGATCTGAAACGTTGAACCTTACACCAGTCTACTGGAAGCTGTAGGGCTCCAGGGAACGAAGCCCCAACCAATGTTTGAGGCTTCTTGTAGGTTTTGTAAGGGTTCCATAGGGGGTGTTCGGGAGCCTTAACCACTAAGCACCTCCACTGTTGTGGCGAGGCTGCCGCGCAGGACGCCGGAGTACAAAAAGCGGAGAAATGCCTCCGGGTTCGAGAAAGTCGGGTTGGGCTATGGGGCTTAGTATGGGGACGCCTGAAAATTGCAAAGCCAACACCCTAAACCCTACTCAGAGGTCCAGGGGACTTAGTAAGTAGATTATGCATATGGTTATAATTGGGGTAACTCCATTACTCATAACCTACTGACTAAGTGCCCTGGGCCTCCACGTAAACCCCAGGGGAAAATTGGAAAATTGGAAGATGGAGTTAGGATGAGTAGTGCTGGGGCGGCCTTTGCTCGACCCCTTAGGGCCCATGTGCCCAAGCAGAATGTACTTTGGTCTTGGAAATAGGCCCTACATAGGTACTTCGGTGTCCAAATATTACCCTAAACCCTAGTATTGCTGTTTGGGTACATGGACCCTTAAGCGACTTTAAGGGTAGGAGGCGGATGATGTTACAGCTTCCTGGTTTCTGCTTTAGAAATGGAGGCTTTAGGTTTGAGGGCTGAAGGGTTGCAGGATTTAGGGGTTTATAGGGTTTAGGGCTTTCGGGTTTGGGGTTTAGGATTTAGGGTTTAGGGTTTGGTGTTTAGTGTTTAGGCTTTGGGGTTTAGGGTTTCGGGTTTGGGGTTTAGGCATGATGTTTAGGGTTTAGGCTTCAGGGTTTGGGGGATTTAGGAGTAGCGAAAGTGGCTGGGGAAAACTTGGGTCCAGAGTTGTATCGGTGTCACTGATGTAGAGACCTTAAGAACTTGAAGACGGTTTTGGGCTCCAGTGTAATATAAATTTCGCCAAGGACCCCATGGACAAAAACATAGTGGCAATTATCTCGAAACCCTAAACCCTTATTCAGGCTTCGATTTTATTTTCGCACAACCCGGCCAAACAACCCCTGCAGACCGCCAGGAAAACCAAGCAGAGACCAGTAACATTCGAGAGCCACCCACCCCCGAGACCCTAAACCATAAAGATCGAACCTTACGACTTTTGGTTTAGGTTTTGGGGTTCAACAGATTTGATATCCTGTTCCTTGGACCCTAAACCCTAAACCCTAAACCCTAAACCCTAAACCCTCTATTTCCGGAACCTCTCGTGTTAACCGAAGGTCCGAATGGTGCCTCCACTGTTGTTGCCGAGAAATCCTGTCAGGGGCCACGATCCAACCCAAGGGCTTCGGTGTCCGTCAAAGGTTTATTATACCTGGACCCTGCAGAACCTACCTGTTTTGGGCTCCTTATTGTGATTTCCGTTTTGAAATCCTCAAAGCCGTAGGTTCTTCAAGGGCCCGGAGGAGTCCGGGTAAGGTTGCCAGCCTCTATACTTGAAGGGGGGGGAGGGGTCAATATGCGAAGGTAACCCGGGATCTCATCTAGGGGCAAACCCTGTTATGGTTTAGGGTTCAGGGTTAGGGGCCTGAACATTTGGAATACAGGGTTCGGCAGGTATCTCAGAGCATACATACACATTCAAGAGCCCATCGGACGGACAATTTGATGCCCCTCACCCTAGCCCGGAACACGAAAGCCCTCAATCCCCACCCCTAACCCCAAACCCCCAAACCCTAAACAACCCCTGAACTCCGTGAGGCCTAAACCCCAAGAGACCCTCCCGTCAAAACCGTGGTCCTGGATGACAACCTCCGCTGCGGCCTTCTCCCTAAATGAGGTGGAGGTAATCATCGTGTGGAACACCTTGATCCGGCTTTCGGGGTTCAGGGGTTTAGGCGACATTCGGGTTTAGGGCTTTTAGGCTTTTAGGGAGTTTAGGGTGGAGGGAGTCCAGAAGCCCTTTCATCAAGCATCCCTAAACCCTAAACCCTAAAGCGTTAGCTTTGTTGACTTCGAGGGCTGCTGATTTTCCCTGATGCTTCAAGGGCCTTAGCCGTGGTAGAAGCTTTCCGCACGTCTGAGAGGGCTTAAGGAACTCGCGGCCCAACTGAGGAACCAAAAGCCCTTTGTAAAGAGCTCAGCATTTGAATTGTAGACGGCTCTATACCATAATCCTACAGAGAGGGGTGCCTGGATTCCTGGAGTAGGGGTTCATCAGAACCCTAAACCATCAAGCGTCAACCCCTATATCCCTAAACCCATCGAGACTGGATTCAACATCGTGCGAATCGCATCGGGGCTCTCATGCTTGCTCTGAATGCAATGCCAACACTGAAAATGAAAACCGAAGCCGCGGCCTGTCAGTCTGACAGCCTCAAAGCTTCACGATCCTTCCCAAATAAACAACTGATGTGTTTAGAATTCGAAGTTTTGGGTTTCGGGTACTCACAAAGGCAGAAACCTGAACTACCAAATGACCCAGAACCTCGCACCCCTACTGGTGAATCCAGTATCTTCTTTTGTGGGCTTATAGTCATCTGTAACGATGGGCCATGACCAATCGAAGAGGCGCCTTAATAATGACGATAGAGCTGGATTGGGGGTGCGGTAGCTGTTGGATATTTATTACTTATACAAAGGAACCCTAAGGATCAATCTTCGTACTTCGAATATAGAAGCCACCCCTACACTCTCTCCACCGTAACTTTCAACTCACAAACCGTAAAAGGGGATTTACGCTTCAGGGTTTCAGGGTGTAGGGTTTCGGGTTCAGGATTTCCTACTTGTCCAATATCAAGGGGAACCCTAAACCCTATACCCTAATTAAACCCTCAACCCTACTAAAGGTTCACCTCACCTTTGGGATTAGAAAGGGATTGGGAACTAAAGGGTCACCTCACGCTTCGGGATGATAAGGGGATTAGGGTGTGGGGGTTTAGGGTCCCCAAAAACGTTCAACGTTTCAGAAAGGTTTTGGGTTTTGGGTTTTGAAGCCTAAACCCTAAACCCTAAAACCCTAAAACCCTAATGCCCTAAACCCGAAAAGGCAAGGCGCTCTTGACCACTGACTCAGCAAAACAGACCACACCTGGCAATGGCAAGGAATGGGATCTCAAGGCTTCGGGTTCTGGGTCGCGGTTTAGGGATTAGGGTTTCGGGCTATGGCTCGCGGTTTAGGGTTCAGGGTTCCTTAAGGACCAAAGAGCCCTAAAAGGGCTTAAGGTTCCTTTACCATATAGGATTCATAGTATAGGGGTATAGGGCCCCTACTTTTAAGGTTCTTGTCGTCCCTATTAGGTTAAGGGTCAACTGCAACGTCCCCACAGCGCGATAGGGTCTACTAATCGCCGAAACCCCTAACCATAGGGTTTGCTTGATGTGCCCCCCTTCCCCAAGGGAATGCCTTTCGGAATGCCTTCGGGATGGCATCAAGGACTTTTGGAACTAGAGTTGAGGGTTCAGGGTTTGGTTTGTGGTGGCTGTTTACTAGGTTCAGGAGTCGAACACGACTGATAACGTACAAGAGCGCACATGTTTATTACAGGGGCCTTGATAATTAGAAGAGGGTTTTTGGGCCCAGTCTTGGTAAGCATTTAGGCCCCTATTTTACATGCTTACATGTTTTGTCTTTATAGAAACCCTAAGATCCTGAAGCTTAAGACCCCTCAGGGTCTAAGTAGCTCATCATCGCATAGTTCTCATAAGATCGGTACAACATCCTCATAATGCCCGTATAGATATCCCTCAGAGAGGTCACTCGGTACTTCGACCGCCTAGCAACGATCCCTAAATGCCAAACTCTTCACATTCTAAATCCCAAACCGTTAACGAATTAAACCCTACAAGCTCTAAGCAAAACGTAAACTCCTCTTGTTTTAAGAAAACCCTGGACACCCTCAAAGCCCAACATTTTCGGGTTGAGGTCATTGAAGGCACCTTGAATTCCGTCCTGACGACTTCGGCGTCCTGTCCGGACTTACCCGCGACACGCTCCTCCACAACCACCGCGAAGTCGCCGCCCTCAGAGGATTTAGGGTTTTCCGTGTCGATGCCCGAAAGGATTCCTGCCAAGGTTCCTTAAAGGGCTCTACGACAAGAGCTAGTGTTTCCAAGTTTGGGTGGTCCGGGGCTTTTGGGTTCCTTGACAAATGCCTTGACGGGCTCCGTGAAGGAATCTAGCCTGTACTGGTTTAGCGTTTAGGCTGGGTCGAGGGTTTAGGGTATTAAAGTATCATGCTCAGGGGGTGCCTTGATCTAGCATAATATAGGGGCCTTGATAATTGGAATAGGGTTTTGGGGCCCATTATACCATACTGATAATAAGGAACCCACCCAAAAATAGTATTGGTAATCATTTAGGCCCCTATACTAAGCTCCTTTCTCCCGCTCTCACCTTCGGAAGGGCTTCGGTTCATGCTGAAGTTTGGTAAGGGCTTTTAGAGTGAATTGGACCTCTTCGGCCTTCTCCAAACGCCTACCCCACCCTCGAATGCCCAGATACGAATTCGGAATATTAGGGTTTAGGGTATAGGGTTTAGAGTTTATGGAATACCCTTGAATCATTTTATTTATGTCATACAAGGGGTCATGCCATAACCCTGAACTCAGAACCTTCATCCCTGCCGAAAAGGATCAAAGCACTTTGCCAGTATGTTCCAGATGGATAACTCTGCTCAAGGAGTAGTTGTGCCTTTTCAAAGACCCTCTCATGGAGTAGTTGTGCCTTTTCAAAGATCCTCTCATCATACTGTGAAAGCCTCTAAACCCACCAAAACCTCTAAACCCTAGACAGCTGCCCCTAAGCCGGCATGGGGCTTGACCAAAGCAACCACCAAGTACATCCGCCGCGAAAGCTTTGTCGGCTTCGTCCACTGCACAAGCCATGGTGGCCACAGCACACTCAAACACGACTGGGGGTTTAGTATTTAGGCTCAGGGACAATTCGTGCTAGGCCGCCAACTCAGGCGTGGGCATCAGGGTTGGAAAGGACTTCTGGGTTGAGGACTTGCCACCTTCTTGAGACACCAAGTCCCTGCTCTAAACTCAATGACAAGCATAACCCCCTGGATTTCGTAGACATTGAATGATGAGTTTCATGGAGGCTCAATATGTGGCCATGGTCAGGACACTGAAGGGGGCTGCGCGGACGAGAGCACATGAGGATGCCTAGTATAGGGGCCTAGTATTATTAGTATTATTATTCTTACTACTACTACTACTACTACTACTACTACTACTACTACTACTATTGATATTGTTATTGTTACTTAATAATTAGCATAGGATTTTGGGGCCCATTATCCTATAACCAGAATACGGAGACCCCAAAATAGTATAGGTAATTATTTCGGCCCCTACATTATAAGTTTCACGGTGCTTCCTTGAGCCTCTGCCGTGTAATGTTTAGGGTTTTGGGCTTTCCGGTTCTAGGCTTTAGGGCTTCATTAAGGCTCTATAGGGTTTAGGGTTTAGGTTTAGGGTTTAGGGTTTAGGCTTAGGGTCCTATAGGGTTTAGGGTTCAGGGCTGTCGACTGAATTGTCGCCCACAGTGCGACGAACAAACCTGAATTGTACATTGTCGGCGGAAGGAGGTCCCCAAGCTTTAAAACCCTAAGCTGGGTTTGCCCAGTGTTTAGGGATTAGGGTTTGGGTTTACGGTGTTAGCCCTAAGCCCAATAAACCCTAATCGCCTAAACCTTAAACCCTGCACCCTATGGGGTTTAGCCCGCCAACCCCAACACAGGGAGACGTTTCCTCGAAGCAAAGAAGGACGTCTGCCAGCATGTAAGTCTTTGTTTACTTTCAACAAGTCTTTTTCAAGGCGCTATACTACAACGCCTTCAAACACTTTTACGGTTCTACGCAGGCTTTCTCTAAGGTCTGTGTCTGGTCGAGAGTCTTCGCACGATGACATGGCATAGCTCGACGACATAGCTTGAGTACAGCCGCCTGAACCAGAAACCCTAAACACCTAAACCCCTAAACCCCAAACCCCTAAACCCTAGACCCTAAACCCTACAGCCGCTTCAACCCCTAAACCCTAAAACTCAATGTAGCCCGCTGACTACTAACTTTCCTGATCCCTCCATGGCGAGCATCCCTAGTCTCCATCTACCCGTCATTCTTGTACCATATACCCCTATCTGAGGGTACAAGGGGGGTCAAGAAAGAATCACACAAGCTCTCACAACAAGTTTCGGCTGGAAGACATGAGCACGACAAGCAGAAACAAGCTTGCCAGTGATGTGACGCCGAAGGTGCACCGCTCTATTTCGTGAAGCCTTCTTGACATGAAGAAAGTTTCAAGATGAAGGCATTCAGGAGATAAACCCTAAACCCGAAACCGACAAACTCAAGGGTTTAGGGTTGAAGGTTTGGGGTTTAGGGCAAACCCCTAACATACTTCGTACACCCGGGAAGGTATGGTGCCCGAGGAACTTCTTTGAATCCAGGGTAGGAAGCCCTGAGCCCTAAATCCCAAACCCCAGAAGGGTTCATCTGCTTATAATGCAATACGTACTACATAGGAACCTTTTCTCGGGCAAAAAAGCAGCCAGTGAAAATTGGGTTTTCGGCTTGAAGGTTTCGGGCTGACGGTTATGTTAAATATGTACCTGACCCTCAGGGCCTTAGGGACATAAATGAACCTCCCTTCCTCGCGGCCAAGGGGCCCATCCTTGTCCCCTTGCTCTGCGGCCTTGAGGAAATACTCGGCCGCCTCGAACACTGCGCTGAGAGCATGCGTCGGACAAGAGTGGACTACTTCGTGTGGGGGTTCCTATGTCTTGGGGTGGTGTCCTGTGAATAGTTTGTAGCACTTGCAGTGCTGATAACAGAGTAACCTACTACCGGGCTTGGGGGGGTTTTAGAATAGTTTCGGTTTCAAATTGTAGCGGTTCTTACAGAGCAGACTGGCTTTACCCGGCGGTGGCAAACAAAGCCAGCTTGATGGAGGCTTTGGCAGTTTGAGCAGCCTTTTGGGCAGCCACCGAGGCCGCGATGGCCTGCCTGTTGAGCAGCTGCTGCTGCTGATGATGTTGTTTCCTCTCGAGCTGCTTGGCATTGGGGCCCGCCACATCGGATGGCTTGCTCTCCTCCCGGCCAGGGGCTGGGCGAGTCCAGTCTTTCCACGCTCTTGTATCCGTTCTCTTCCTCTTCTCAGCAAAAGTCTCAAGCTCAAGTGGCCTCTTTATGGGTGATAACACCACTGGCAGTGCAGGAGCAGGCTTCTGACAAGCTTCATGCCAATCCTCAGAGCCGATTGAAACGTTCTTGCCCAGCACACCAGCCATATCGGACAGGAGCAGCACTGGTGTCTGGGACTGGCTGGGACTTGGCTCTCCCGCTCTATATACCTGTGAACCTGATGAAGTAGGCCAGCACCACCGCCACAACCATTCCAAACACCACCATTCCAAAAACTATCAACAGCACCAACCCCCCCCCCCCCACGCGTACAAAAACAAAATCAAACAGACCTGAAACATCCAACTAAACATTCATCATGATGACAGCATGTCAAGACCCCAAATTAACCTCGACATGTCTGACAGGAAAAGCCAGCGTCTCAGTGCCAACGTACGGTATTCCAACAAAGGGTCGGGTCAAAAAACAAAACAGGCTCCCAGGCATAGTCCGAAGACGAGGAGTAGCGAAA